TGAAATTCTGAGTGACCACACTAGGGTGGGGTGAAATTCTGAGTGACCACACTAGGGTGGGGTGAGATTCTGAGTGACCACACTAGGGTGGGGTGTAGGACAGCGAAAAAAAAGCAACTGAACTAAAACCCAGCCCACGTGATTAAGGCGGCCCAGGTTCCCATGGTGTGTGAGAAAACATTTTTCACTTTTTTCGTTCCTCAGTCAGTGGAAAACACAACCTACCAGAGTAGCGCAAATCATTGAAGGGTTGGATTGATGAGTATGATGGAGTAAATGATTGAGAAAATAGCTTTTTTTCTCAGTGGGGAACACAGAAGAAGAAATCATGTTGATAATGAGAGATGAAGCTCTTCTGATTTTTTAATGTTAGACCGTTGTGGACCCTCCATGCATTTATACCTTAGTGAATACTGCTGGTTGGTGTTCAGATAATATTCTAGCCAATAGTTTCAAGCTGTACAAGGCAGTTTGTCTGTTAATAGGTGTCTCATTTCCAACTTCCGAACGAACCAGAGAGAGTAGAACGCTGACCAGTTTGACCAGCTCCTCAACCTACAACATGAAACACCATTGAAGAGCATATAATTATCGTTAAAATAAATGGATTATGCATAGAGGAAAACTGTGAACAATAAAAGGGAAAAAAGGTCTCATCCCGCAGCATTTTAGTCGACCTTCGTAAAAATGTTCGAGAATTTACTCAATAACTATACAAACTACTACAGTCGAACCTCTATTAAGCGACCTTCTATTTAGCGGTCACCTTCCATTAAGTGGTCACCCATGAGTTCCCCATAACTCGATTCTCTTGTACATTTACTGAAAACATAACCTCTATAAACGATCAACCTCTAGTAAACGGTCAACCTCTAGTAAACGGTCAACCTCTATTAAACGGTCACCTGTTCTTTCCCGAAGGTGACCGCTTAATAGAGGTTCGAGTAGATAATCTTAAACCTCTCTCTAGAGTCTACAAGCACAAGGTCAGTCAGTCTCAAAAAAGCAGTCAGTTGACTGGCATTAAGTTTTAATGATTTTAAATAATCTTTCACGACTGAATTGTTCCATCTCGAGCCATTATTACTTTGCACACTTTTAATTTTTTTCAACGTTCATCTTCAGTACATCCGTTCTCACCCCTCCCCACGGGGAAACTTATTTGCATGTATATATATAGGGTCACTGATGTAAGTACAGATGGAGCACACTTGTCTGTGCAGCTCACTGATGAAAAAATATGAAAAAAGAATGGAAATAATGCAGTCCATAATCATGTAGAGTCTGACACATTTTGTCAACACGTGCGCCCTTCATGTGACAGTCTTCACGATGATGTAGCGTTCATCATCACCTGATGAAGACGAGCACCATGATGTCGAAACGGCGCGGTACATCAAATGTCTCACCTGTCCAGATAAAGCCTTGTTGTGGCCTAGTTTGTTGTTAAGGAGATCCATTGATTTGCGTCGTACAGTAGCATTAGAATTGGTGAGCAATCGGCAGATGACAGCGATGAATACATTAGGGGGTAGAAGCTCGTTCACCTGCAATGAAGATTGATTATAAATACCTAACTAAAAAAAACGTAGTCGCGTTTCAAAAGGTTACATCATCGAAGCTAAGACCGAAAAGGATAATGGGATCGATCCTTAAATGATGATATATTATGTGTAACTGTTACAGTGATTCCGGGCAAAGACTGCTAACCGTCAATAAATCTAAGCTTTTCAACAAAGGATGCTATAATGACCACCTTGGGTAAATGATGATTAAAAATTTCTGAATATCCAAAATAATGACGACAATAACGGTTGCAAAGACCTTTCTTCAAAATGCCTGCCGCTCGTTAACATCAAATATTTTTCTCAATCTCGAACAAAATATTCCTGAATTTAACATTAGAGTAATATATGCTTCACTTACAATATAGCGGTAATGATAATTATATTGTACCTTATCAATAATGTCATATATCTTGTGAAGGAAGACACGCCAAAACTTCCCTGTAGTACTCTGACTGTGAGCCTCGGTGTGTTGAGCTGTGACGGTAACAAACGTGAGGAGCTCTTCTATCAGACTAAAACATAAATTAATAGACACTTCAGGTTAAAAGAGGTTCTCCTAAAATCATGGCATACATCAAGATGCCGAGGGAATGATAAGGGTGG